TACTGTAATACTGGACGTACTTCTTAGCTGCTATGTACCACACAGGAAGCCATTATATATTTATCAAAAGCAGCGCCAATACTGTGGTGAGATTCAGTTCAGTGACTCCATTTAGCACTGCTTTATCCCTTGCAATGAAAGCAGGTATTCCCCTAACATTAAACCTTAACAGCAAACAATAGTGCAATAGGTCGGCAGCCTTATGAAAGTTCCCCTTGTGGGACTAATAAAGGTATATCAATTCAATTCAATTCAAACAAATGGGTGTTCAAAGATCACCCACTTGAGAGCTGGTGTGAGTAGTTGTTTGGTGAGTGAAGCCACAACCTCAACTAGAAGTGTGAACACTTTGGTCTGCAACAATGTTTAGGTGGGTAGCAAAGTTGGAATGCCAGAACTCAAGGTTGTATCAGCTCATTGCTACATTGTATAGCAAACCAGGGGCAGATCTAGATACATTTTCTAGGGTGGCATTGAAATCAGATGGGGTTGGTTTTATGTACTGTATAGCCTATACGATGAAGATTCCTTCACAACCACCAAAAAAGCCCCAGCTCAAGCTGCAGCTCTTGCCTCTCCTGAATATGCTGAATTATTTTAGTTAGATGTTTCTGAAAAAGGTGGTGTTATGAAGTCTGTCCTTTTTCAGAAAAAAGGAGGGAGGACGACATGTACTGATGAAGTACATTTCAAGATGGGACAACATGGAAAAAAATCAGCAACATTCCAGAAAAACCAAAGTCTCCAGTATTTTGACGCAGCTAAACATCATCTATGGAACAGAAGGGATCAACATGGCAGCTGGAATGACCTGCTGGAGTGTGATGTGTAATTGTTCTAAGAAGTGTCAATATACAAAATAGGATGAACTGAAAGCATTTTCAGATTTTTTCCTCAGTTTTTTTTATTTTGAAATAATTGAACTTTGGGTTCCTGCAACTGTGAATTTCTTAGCCCCATGTTGGCTTCTGCTGTTTTAATGCATTGCAATAGAACAGCATGTAAATGTTGGAGGGTCAAAACGTAGGACTGTGACAATGGGCCTTGGTTCAAGCAATATCCCTGTCACTGAAATCTATCAGCAACGTTTAAATTGTGCCTTATTAGTTTTTAGCAAATTTAGAAATTTTTTTTCTTTAGAGCTAAAGATTGCAATCCTGTGCTTATATCTTAAAGAAGTGAATTTCAATTCTTAGACAATAAATTACTTGAATTGGTGAAAGGAAGCATTAGGAGGAGGTGCCAGGCTGTTGTGGCTGTGTACGGCTCTTCCACGTGCTACTAAAGCTCCCATTTGTTAAAGGAATACATTGATATTGCCCATATGTCTTGTTTATCCAGACTTCAATCATCCGATTCAATAAACAGCATGCAAAAAAAATCATGTTATTGTTTTTATATTAAAAGCTCACTTAATATTGATCATTTTAAAAAATGAAAGAAATATCTTGTGTTCAATATGATGTGTTCAAGATGGTTACCTCACATCTTAAAATGAAAAGCCTGGTCTTGTACCCCTGTCTTTCTGCAACATAAAGACATTTTCCCAACGACACCACCAATCAGCTCAATAATAACCACAATCGTTTTACAGACGTGACATTATGTACAGCTACTTTCAGTACCACTGATATTTATTTAGAGCATTAATTAATGTTTCAATCTTAAATATTATCAACCTATCTCTAATAATTGTACCACAGGCCTTCAAGGTGGCAGGTGGCCTTCACTGACCCAGCTGTCTTAGCCAACTCATCATCTGCAGAGGAATGGCTTAATTGGAGAGTTTCAGTCAGGTTTCAGAGCTCATCACAGCACAGAAACAGCTTTAGTGAAGGTTACAAATGATCGTCATATGGCTTCTTACAGTGGACATATCTCTGTGCTTGTCCTGCTTGACCTCAGTGCAGTGTTCATTACCTTCAACCATAACATTTTATAAGAGCAGAGATTAGATTATGACATTTTAAAGGTATTAAATGTACTGCAATGCAGTGGTTTGAATCCTATCTATCTGATAGACTCCAATTTGTTAATGTAAATGGAGAGTCCTCTTTACACATTAAGGTTAGTACTGGAGTGCCACAGGGTTCTATGCTAGGACCGATTTTGTTTACAATATATACGCTTTCTTTAGGCATTAATATTAGAAGGCATAGCTTACATTTTAATTACTATGCACCCAACTTTATCTATCCACGAAGTCAGATAAACACACCAATCGGTTAAACTGCAGGAATGTCTTAAAGATATAAAGATCTGGACAGCCTCTAATTGTCTGCTTCTAAATTCAGATAAAACTGAGGTTATTGTAGTCAGCCCTATACATCTTGGAGATATGGTTTCTCACACTGTGAACCTTTGAGCCATTTTTGACCAGGATACGTCTTTTAAATGCACATATTAAACAAATATGGAGGATTGCTTTCTTCCATTTGCCCAATATCTCTAATATCTTTAAAACCCCTAACCCTACAACATCCTTTCTCAGAGTCATTCCAAAAAACTAGTTCATGGATGTATTTTTAGGCTGGACTACTGTAATTTGTTATTATCAGGATGTCCTAAAAACTCCCTGGAAAACCTTCAGTTGATCCAAAATGCTGCAGCACGAGTACATACAGGGAGTAGAAGGAGAGAGCAGATTTATTCTATATTGGCTTCCCTCCATTGGCTCCCTCTTAAATCTAGAATCAAATTCAAAATCCTGCTCCTCACATATAAGGTCTTGAATGATCAGGCCCCATCTTATTTTAATAAACTTATAGAACCGTATCACCCCTTTAGAGCTATTTGCTCTCACACTGTGGGCTTACTTGTAGTTCCTAGAGCAGGAATGTCCAACTCCAGTCCTGGAGAGCTACTGTCCTGCATTTTTAGATGCCTCCCTACTCCAACACAGCTGAATAAAATGGTTGGATTACCTCTTCAGCATGCCATCAAGTTTGGCAAAGGCCTAATAACAAGTATTCATTTGATTGAGGTGTGTCAGAACAAGGATGCGCGTAAAAGCTGCAATACAGTAGCTCTCAAGGACTGGAGTTGGACATCCCTGTTTTCAGGCTCCTTTTTTGTGGAACCAGCTTCCAATTTGGATTCAGGACACAGATACTATCTCTACTTTTAAGATTAGCCTTAAAACTTTTCTTTTTGCTAAAGCATATAGTGCTGATCAGGTGACCCTGAACACTCCATTAGTTATGCTGCAAGTGGCCTAGGCTGCTAGGGGATTCCCATGATGCATTGTGTTAACAGACCTCTCTGCATTGAATCATACTTATTCTTAATCTCTGGCTCTCTTCTACAGTGTGTCTTTTGTCCCGTCTTCCTCCCCTCACCCTCACCCATATTTATTGAATGTTAGATTTGTGTTCTCACGAGTAAATATATTAATTTATCTTATGTTGTAAAAGATGTTTTCTGATTGTCATTTTATTTTGGAAATGATTTTATTTTGGTGATTATAGGTGACCTCACTTCCTGTTCCGTATGTTGTGAAGCGCGAACTGCTAAAAATGAATGTATGGTTTTCCCTCCGGTGTTGCTGTCAATAAAAGAAACAG